CGACGCAAGAAAAACATTAGCTGATGCATATACTTAAAACTTTCCTAGATCCCGGGGACTTCCGGTTCAGAATCTATTCGTGACAAATGATTTCTTATCTAAGCTGCTGTTTAGTTAGAAAGCTTCCAATGAAACAAAGCTAAGTCACCTGTTTAAGAGAAGCAGTGTTGATAAGACAACATATTGATTATTTTAAGGCCGTACTTTGCTGGAAAAAATATTTTTCTTAAATTAATCTTTTAAGCTGGCGTGTAAAACATCTGGTTCTTATAACTTTGAGCTTGTGTTTTATATTTTAATGATACAGAGTAAAAAAATATCAATTTCCTCCTCAATTTTGCTGTGTTTTTACTGTATGTTCTCTTCAATGTTTTAGAGTATTAAGCTTTTGTTGATGAATTACGTGATAACTTTGAAACGATAAATGCGGAAAAAAAATTACTGAATTGCCTGACTTTTCGTCAACGAAAGTCGATTTGCATACGTGCATCAACTGTGCTCAAATTAGCGGGGAATTGATCATCACCTTAAATAGTCAATACCGACATAAGATTCATTGATATATAAATATTTTTAATTTCCCCGTTTTTATTTCATTTTTTTGGTAGCGTAGGTAACGATTATTTAACATTTCCAACACTTTTTTATTCCATGAAAATTTATCTTGAAGATGCTCGTTAAGGAAGACCTTCGTTCGACTAAAAATTAATTGCTTGACAAGTATTCAAGTCATGTAATCCATCAGTCGTATGTCAAGAGAGATTGTCAAAGGCGAACGCTTTCAGGAAATTTTACAATGTTACCTTTTCTTGAAAGTCTTAGTGAGATGCTTTTAATTTCTGCTTGTGTGTTTAGCAAACAGTTTTCAAAGAAGAGCGACGCACTTGACCCAAAACTCTTGCACATGATGACCTTTAAAACGAGTTATTTGGTTGCAATTGATGTAGAACAAGCTGTGGATAAATACATTTTATTAGACGTTTTGGTGTGCAGTATCGCTGAGCATTTTTGCGAGTTGTCCCGTATTTTGACGAGCCCGTATGGCGAGTAAAAATACGAACATCTCCGCTTCCGAAATGCTTTACAACAGAACAGTACTTCAAGGCTTCTTTATTTGTTGATAATAAAAGGGGGCGACTTACGCTTAACACTGACCGATTGATAATTTTGAAATTATTGTTATTTGAAATATTTGTTATTGGCTGAGTTACGTTAATTTGCATCTTATTTGCACTATCATGCTGTACTGATAGTCTCAAAAAAGGACTGCCGTAATTTTCTTTGAAATAAAACATACTAAAAGGTGAAGTCAAAAAGTTCCGCGTTTGGTATCAATTTCTGATTGCAATTGGTTCATCTTGAAAAGCATGAAACATACAGACGTCAAACTCCGAGCATGAAGCGTCTGACAAGAACGTTGTCAAGTGATGGATGTTTGCAGCCCTGAATATGACTTAATTCAACAGCATATATATTGCTTTAATTAACTTGTACGTAGGTTTGATGAGGCCAAATGGTTGATTAAAAACTCTATATAAACACAATTACATTTTTCACCCTTAAAACCTTTCAAAACGCTCTTGGCTTGACCGAAGAAAGAAATTGAAAAGTCCTAGACAGCCACTTAAAAGAAATTCTATGGAAACGTGGTTTTGGGTTCTCGGCTGGTTCCTCAGCATTCTCACGATGGTTGTAAATGGATTTGTCATCTTCCTCGTCTGCGGTAAACGTCAGCTTTGCACCAAAACCAACGCATTTGTCGTGTCTTTAGCTGTGGCTGATTTTGGTGTTGGGATGATTGCTGTTCCTTCACATTTTTTCTGCAGCCTTGCAACCGAATGCACTCCACCCTTAAGAGAGGGATTAATTGTGATGTTTGTAAGGATATTCATTATTTACACCTCTGGAACAAACTTGTTTAGTTTGGTACTGGAACGCTATGTTGCTGTTGTGAAACCTTTAAAATACTTGACTTTTATGCAGCGCCGTCGAGTCATTCAAATGGTTCTAACATCTTGGGTAATTCCTTTTCTTTTCACTCTTACTGTAGTGTCGATTAAATTTGGTGGACTCGATCGCGCCGGGACTATGCAAGGCTACTTGTATTTGCTTTTCGAGATAATCTTGTGCGTAATTTTAATCTTTTTTCTTGCATCAATGTTTGTTGTTGTTTACAATCTGAACTCTAGAGATTGCACTTTAGCTAAGCAATTGCGGTTTAATCAAGTGGTCGCTAGAGCTAAAACTCAGAACACGTCAGCAGTAAAATGGGTGGCTTTGATAACGTGCGTGTTTCTATCGTGTTACGGAATAATGATGCGTTGTAGTTTGTTATTTTTAACTGGTCAACGATGTAACGATCTTAATTTTAAAATACCTTTACAAGTTATTAACTCTGGAATAAACCCTATAGCTTATGCTTTCTTCAAAAGAGATATAAAGCAAGAGTGCGGAAGACTTCTCTTCAAAAGGCGTATTAATAAACAACAGAATAGTCCGACGCAAGAAAAACATTAGCTGATGCATACCTAAAACTTTCCTAAATCCCGAGGACTTCCGGTTCAGAATCTATCCGTGACATATTAATTCTGATCTAAATTGTTATTCAGTTAATAAACTTCCGATAAAACAAAGATAACTTACCTGTTTAAGAGAAGTAGGAATTATATTACATATGTCTCTAATATTCAAGATCACATATTGATTATTTTGAGGCCGTAGTTTATTGGAGAAAATGTTTTTCTCAAATTAATCACTTAAGCTGGCATGTATTTTAATCTTAGAAACATCTGGTTCTTATAACTATGAGCTTGCGTTGTATATTTTAATGATATAGAATAAAAAATATCATTTTACTCCTCAATTTTGCTGTGTTTTTACAACAGTCCGCCAGTCCACTGTAGGAACCTTAAACAGGCCACGGCGGTGACGGCAACGATGATATGGAAAAACAAAAGATCTAATTGGCACAACAATAGTTCAGCACATGTGTTTTAAAACTTTGTACTTTCTTAGCCATCTTCTGCAAAACAACAACGTGAAATCTCCACAATTTGCGTCGTCTGCGAACCGAAACCGCGACGGTAAATTATTTTAATTTCCATTTAGAACTCGACGTTTCTTTAATACGTTATGCTGGTGTGGCGCCGTATGAGACGGTAAACAAATGCAGCAATTTTTGAAATTGTAAATATATACAGAAATTCATTTTTTAATCGAAGTCTTCCTTTACGTTACCCACCTGACTGCTAAAGGTCCCTTGTATGTTTTCTTCAATTTTTTAGAGTATTAAGCTATTGTTGATGAACTACGTGATAACTTTGAAACGATAAATGCTGGAAAACAAGAGCTGAATTGCCTGACTTTTCGAATTGCCCATCACCTTTAATAGTCAATACCAATATAAGATTCATTGTTATAAATACTTTTAATTTCCCCGTTTTCATTGAGAAATTTTTCACATTTGGTAGCGTAGGTAACAATGGTATAACATTTCCAACACTTTTTTATTCCATGAAAACTTATCTTGGAGATGCTCGTTAAGGAAGACCTTCTTTCGACTAAAAATGAATTAGTTGACAACTATTCAAGTCATGTAATCCATCGGTCGTATGTCAAGAGAGATTGTCAAAGGCAAACGTCTTTAGGAAATTTTATAATATTAGGTTTTCTTGATAAGTCTTTGTGAAATGCTTTTAATTTCTGCTTGTGTGTTTAGC